GTAGAAAGACTGCTTTTATGGCCACTCATTTTAAGCAGGAAAAGCGAACTTGCATAGAACGTGGGATAATTTACAATGTGTCACAATGACACAAACTGCTTGGGTTAATTTATTTCTTGCAGAGCATGGTTTATAATCTGTTACTAATTGGATGATGTGGTCTGTGATGAACAATTGGGAGAATGCAATCTTTATCCTTTGTCTGGATTTTATTGTGGCCTGTTGGCCAAGAGTGGCTTCCTTAACGACCTCTAAGTGCCTCATAATGATAAGACGCACAAGGCGAATTTTCATGCATTCATAAATTTGTCAGACTAGATAAGATTAGTGGATTGGTTTACTCAAGTGTTAGATGATTTAGCTGTGATAGGATTCAGACCTGCATGTTTCCTCATGACTTCCTCTTGTGTTTGCAGTATTTGTTAGTTGTTAACTTGTTTTTTTTCACGGAACGGACGGTGGAGGGGGCAGGTACAGCTGGCTCTGCCTCTAGATAGGCAGAGCCAGCTGTCACTCACGCAGCTGGGCGGATCCGGACATAATTGTCGGGATCCGCTTAAGCTGTGGCGTCTCAGTATACCACGAGCTGTAGCTCGCGGTATACTGAGCTTAGCGTGACGGGAGGACGCTAGTTTGTGTCCTCCCGTTACCCTAAGGAGAACTATGGGGGAAAGCCCTAACCGCATAGTTCTCCTTTAATCTTAATTTTTTTAAGCTTTTTTTTCTGGTGATCCTGCCAGTAACGCACTTCCTGCCCTACGCGGTCCAACACTTATCCTGTTTCTCTGATACAGTAGACTAAGTGTACAGTCCCCCCTACCTTCTTCTCTGTAACATAGAATGGAGGTGTTCTGTAGTCCTCTCAGAGAGCTGGGCATAGTAGTAATTGATCACAGAGAGCACAGGAAGTTATCGGGTGGCAGGATTTCCAGCAGAATCAACAGGGCTTTTTTGGATTTTTCAAACCGCTATAGCAAAATGCTTCCAATGTTAAACAGACCCAAAGGGACCAAATAAAAGAAGTTTATTATAAGAGTTAACATTCTTTTACAAGGGTTTTGTTTTCTTTTTTTGGTGGCTCAGTCATGTGGATAGTTCTGATAATCAAAAGCTTAAAACCTCTCACCTAATTAAGCCTTTCAGTATCTATAGTCTTAAAGTTCATGTAGAATTAATCAACAAGGTCAATTAAGGGTTTTATCAGCTGTTGCAGGAAATTTATCATTCTGAAACCGGATTGCTGCTATCGCCAAATGGGTTTTTGTTTGCCTTTCCTTGGACCAACACAACAAAGGTTTAACTTGGCCTATCTGTCCTTTATTTTTCTTTTGTATCTCCTTGCTGCAGTGATTATTAACTTTGTTCAAATGTCATTCTCTGTCAATTCTGAATAATACATTTGTTTGTGAAAGCATAATCAGGAAACATTTAGCTATCAGAGGCACAGTACTTTAGATCTCACACTGCATGCATACAGCTATGAGGCTGTAGTCATAGGAGTGCCTAGGCACCCTTACACACCAGCATGTGCACTTCTAACTTTTTCTCTGAAATTGCTCCTGAAAGATTTTTTTTCTATATATACAGCACAGCTTTGGCACAATTAACATTTTTAAATGTTCCCTATAACAGGGAAAATCCCCTCTGCTTTAGATGATTTGCTTCTTTCTACATAGTGATAAACCTTTGCCATCGCCAGTGGAAGTCTGGACTTGTCAATTAAATCAATTTGTTAAAGGAGAACTATGGGGTTCTATCTTTTTTATTAATGCATTCCTTAGGCTAAATAAGTAAATGTAATTTACTCTTAATTAGCCGAAATGCACAGTAAGGCTGTAAAACCTTACTTAAGGTGGTGGGCGGGGCTAAGCGCCGCAATGAGAAGACATCCCGACGTATCTGACGGGATCCTCCCCACTGATGACTGACAGTGATTCTTGAGAGCTGCTGCGCGGCCACGAATATATGGACATGCGCAGCAGTTCTCGCCTTACCTGCACGTCCCCGTGTGCCAGCTCCTTCCCCCCTCGCTCTCTCTCTCCCTGCTGACACTGACATACTAAAATGATCGTGGATCGCTGATGACAGAGGGGAAGGAGCTCTCTCTCTCTCTCTCTCTCTCTCCAGCATTTACTACAAATGGGAAAGTCCATATATGGTAAATTATGTCACTGGAGATCCCTGCTGATCGGATCCGCTGATCGGATTTGATCAGCAGGGATCTCCAGTGATAGTTCTCCTTTAAAGTAAATCTTGGTGGAGTAGCAGCAACTTATTCAGTAGACTTCAGGTAATGGTTTTTCCAGGCTTAATATTTTGTCATTCAGGCCTGGTTCACACTTGCCCGTTCTGGAAACACGCTTGTGGTGCCATTCGTTTCTAATGGCTCCCCAAACACCCCATGGCACCCCAAAGTCCGGATTTCTGCACGTGCAAACGTGCACAAATGCAACTAAGGCTGGGTTCACACATGGGCGTACGGAATATGTGCGTTTCTACCGCGATTTGTGGTAAACGCAACGAACGCGCGTTTACGAGGGCTATCCGGCTGTATCCTAATGGATACGCACGGAAAATACGCCCCCAAGAAGCTCCTGTACTACTTCGGGGGTAGGGCGTTTTTCAGCACGTTCCTATGCGCTGAAATACGCCCAGGTGGGAACCATGCCCATAGGCAATTATTGGTTTTCACATGCTGAGCGTTTTACAGCTCGTAGGAACGCGCTGTAACACGCCCAGGTTTGAACCAGGCCTTAGGCCTGATTCACACCTTGGCGTTTTGTAGCGCGTTTGAACGCTCTGCAAAACGCTCAAACACCGAAATCCCATTATTTCCTATGGGTATGGTTCACACCTGGGCGTATTACAGGCCGTATGAACGCGCTACAAAAAACGCCCAAAGAAGTACAGGAGCTTCTTTGGGGCGTTTTTGTTGCGTGTTTCCATTGAGATACAGCCAAGTAGCCCTCGGAAACGCGCGTTTGTCACGTGTTTTTTTTACCGTGAATCGCGGTAAAAACGAGTGTCACGAAACGTGCGACGCGCTCATATTCGATACGCCTAGGTGTGAACCCAGCCTTCGTGTCCCGTGCAGGAGCCTGTTTGCTGCGCGTATATGATCCCATTGAAATCAATGGGGCCATGTGGCAAACGCACGTTCCTGGAACACGCTGATGTAAACCAGGCCTTACTGGCAAATTCAGAGAGTCTGGGTTTAGGGTTCCCAAGTCTAGAAAGCTGCAGATGGTGGGTGCCAAATTCAAAAGGGTTTTGTTAAATAGTGGAAATCTTTTAAACAGCTTATTCAGCAAGCCTGCGCAAGGAGTTTGTGCAAAGTGCCATATCTCATAGCCGTTTAATATTTTATTTAATCTCCATGCAGTAAACTGAAATCAGATTGTTTGTAATGGGTGGCTGCACACAAGCATGAACACTTGTCTGACATAAGTCTACATGTTTATGTACTCTGCAGACATGCCTGGCACCAGACCTATCTTGGATGAACAATAGCGCTTGGCTAGTAAAATCCAGTCAATTCCTACTCAAAGGTCTCTTCAAAGGTCACAGACTGCTTGCACAGAGTTGTTTCCCTGTTTGACTGTAATTGGCCAGATTGGGCATTGATCATGTCATGTCTGTGGATACCTTTTCTCCCAGATACGATGGTCTTCTAGTTTGTTAAATTTTATAGCATAAGATGTGTGGACATGAGAAAATCCATTGTTTCCAAGCCTATCCCTGACAATCCATTAAATTGTGAGTATAAAACGCCTCAATGTTGCATTTGAACGCATCAGTTCTTTTAAAACTGCAATGTGTCTGTCTCATTGTACCATGCTTTAACATAATGTGCATTCTGGTGCAAACAAGCCCTAAGCCAGCAAGCATTTTAGTAATTGTTTACTAGCTTTTGTAACTGGTTGGATCTGTTTTTTGATTGTGATATTATTTGAGTTCAGAATACTTTTAAATATAACATGGTGCTTGCCAGTGCATGATCAGGAAATAATTTCTCTTCAAAAAGATAGTCTACAATTATTCTTGACACAAGTGATTTTTAATGTTGTCAATATAGTTTGCACTGTTTTAATTGAATGCCTTATCTGTGTACCTAAAAAGCCCCTTCCTAGCTGTATGCTGGGTTTCTCACCAGTTTTTGATGTATATCTTTCTATGGGGTGTGGTGCATTGGCTGCCTTCTGCTCAACCTTATCTATATAACAAGTGCTTGTGTAGCCCAATGCTTCCAGATACAGTGCATATGCCTGCATGCTCTATGTGATTATTCAGTGATTTGAAGGTAAAGAGAAACGTTTGAAAAAGTTCATTGACGTACACGTACAGGAAGTCCCAGATCTAGAAACCAATTTTTCTGCTAATGTTAGGCTACAGACTTGGTCTTTCATACAATCTTTCCATGACCCCTTCGGTCTGAAATGTCCCAACACAAATCTGGTGCATGTGTAGCCTAAGCCATGACTGCAGAAGTGGCGTTGTATTTATCTGCTAAGAAACTGTAAAAATGTGCTGTACTGCTGCTACTGTGCTCTTTGTTGGATCACAGCAGTGTCATGCTCTGGAAGGTCAGATGCTTGGTAAGCATACAGATGAAGTATGCCATGATAATCCCATCAGTAAATATGTTAATCTATTCCTGGGTTGCACAATGCAGTTTTCAGCTTCTCCTAGTAACTGCGACTCTGAAGTAACAACATGTATTGTCGTTCTGGAGAACGCCAGACCTCAAAAACCTTGAGAACAAATAAGTGGTTACTATGGTGAAGTGGTCCAGCTCAATGGTGATATACTTTATATAAAGCCATTCAAACCACCCAACCTTCTGCCTCTACCTAAAAAATAATCTGAATAAATGGTGAGCTGGAATGGCATAGTTGACTTGCCTGAGATTATAAAAGTGATAATGCCATCATGTATTAAATGTTTTGTAGTTAGTGTAGCTTTTCATACTCATTGTTTTTTCCCCATTCATTTAACTTTAGGTGAACCCCACTCCTCAATGTATTCGAGCCATGGTGAAGATGACCTACTGTCCTCATTGTAGAGGATTGGTAACTGTAAAGCCTTGCAACAACTACTGTTTGAATGTGATGAGAGGCTGTCTGGCCAATCCAGGAGATCTTGATACGGAATGGAACAATTTTATAGGTAGGTGACAATACACCAGCTTCTAGTAATAAAAATACACAGTCCCATGTCCTCTGAATACTGCATTACCGTATGTAAAACATATTTTTCTGTGCTGCCATGTCCATGCACCAGGTGATTGACAGCAGCACGGTTAAGCCCGACAGATTGCCAGGGACACTTGTTTTGGTCAAGGTGTGTTTAGCTTTTAGGAGACATATGTTGAATCAAAGGTTTACAGCTAAACTTTTTAAGAGACTTCTGGGAATTGCTGTATTTCAGAAAACCTCAATTGTCTGCAGGTCCATATTCAAATAACCCTTCCGCCACACATTTTTTATATATATTATAATGTGTTTAGACTTCAATGTTTTTAAGCATTAAAACCTATTAGTATTGCTGCAGGAAAATGCATTTCACAAGTATAAAAGCATAGCCTGTTCATGTACTACATCTATATAGTGAATGATTGGTACAGAATCTGCCATTTCGGCCACATGATTGGTTTGTTGTTCTGTTAGACTGCACAACAGGACAGCATATAGGTAATGGTGCCTTTATAATTTCCAGGCCATGTCCTAATCACTATTTAAGGTCCTAAGTCAAAATTTAGAACATACTGCTTCTAAAAAGCAGAATAGATTACTGTACTACTTTACCTTACGCAGTATAGAGCATTATCGCCCCCAGGTGGAATATTTGTTGTTTTGTAGCCTACTCAGGAGGTCAGAAGTATGCTTTTGTGTCTTAAAATTCTAAATGGCCAAATTTAGGCTTATTGAGTTTCATGATTACAGTAAGAACACATTTCTTCCAGTGATATGCACCTAAAACCTAAACTTTGTGCAGAGCAAACTAGGCAAAACGGCATGTTATGAATAAGGGATTCCATGATAAATTTAAAAAAAAAAGTGGTGGCCAAGACTAAAGGTCATCCTGGCTCTAAAGCTGGCCATACACCTATAGGTTTTCGATCGGAAATTTCCGTTGCTGTCTAGAACCCTCTTTTGATAATAGCTCATCATGCACATAATAATGTCAATTTCGATAATCGTTGGTTACTAATTCACCAAATTTCGGAGAACGACAGAACGTATTTTCATTTGCGCTTGTTCTTGCTGCGATTTTTTTTTTTTTCGTACGACTAATCATCGATTTCATACGATTCAAAAAAAGTTTTCTAACTTGACTGGTCAAGGAAATTCTTCCAGGAGTACAGTAATTAAAATCGTTGGAGTCCCATCAACTGATAGAATAAGATAAAGGGAGTAATTTCCAGGCCATGTCCTAATCACTATTTAAGGTCCTAAGTCAAAATTTAGAACATACTGCTTCTAAAAAGCAGAATAGATTACTGTACTACTTTACCTTACGCAGTATAGAGCATTATCGCCCCCAGGTGGAATATTTGTTGTTTTGTAGCCTACTCAGGAGGTCAGAAGTATGCTTTTGTGTCTTAAAATTCTAAATGGCCAAATTTAGGCTTATTGAGTTTCATGATTACAGTAAGAACACATTTCTTCCAGTGATATGCACCTAAAACCTAAACTTTGTGCAGAGCAAACTAGGCAAAACGGCATGTTATGAATAAGGGATTCCATGATAAATTTAAAAAAAAAAGTGGTGGCCAAGACTAAAGGTCATCCTGGCTCTAAAGCTGGCCATACACCTATAGGTTTTCGATCGGAAATTTCCGTTGCTGTCTAGAACCCTCTTTTGATAATAGCTCATCATGCACATAATAATGTCAATTTCGATAATCGTTGGTTACTAATTCACCAAATTTCGGAGAACGACAGAACGTATTTTCATTTGCGCTTGTTCTTGCTGCGATTTTTTTTTTTTTCGTACGACTAATCATCGATTTCATACGATTCAAAAAAAGTTTTCTAACTTGACTGGTCAAGGAAATTCTTCCAGGAGTACAGTAATTAAAATCGTTGGAGTCCCATCAACTGATAGAATATTGTTTGAAATACCATTCGTGGACGATTTCCAAAACGAAAATCGTTGTGTATGGGCACCTTTAGGCTGGATAGCACCCTTCCCATACCTGGTACCTTAGTGCCTTTTTTGATTGACTAGACCCTCAAAGGATCTTGAAGAGACATTAACATCCATTGCTCGGAGCATTTTGGGCAAGCCTTTCTGCAAGTAGAGAATACCATGATGCCTGCTGATTTTTGCATAAACCAGAGCGAAATTGGACAATTGCAGGTGCAGTACAAGTCTACAACCTTCCCTGTAGATGTTGTGATCATTTTTTTTTAATTCATTTATTTTTTTGTCAGACTGTTAACTGCAGGTGTATTTTGTCTAAGTTGATATTGATCTAATTGCAGAAGCATTTTTAATGTAGGGGCAAGAGAATGGGGGTTGCTTTTTTTAGGTTTATGATTACTGGTTATTGGTCTGACGTTTGCAGACATGTTTCTGATTGGCTGCTATGGCTTACTGCGCAGGACTGTTTTGAGCACATTAAGCACAAAAAAAAAACCTGTCCATGGGTAGGCATTATGGTTCACCTAATGTAATTCATTTTAACAGCCAGTGTGTGAGACATCCACTTACAGAGATTGCCCAGAGTTCCTCTCTCCATTTGGAGGGTGTAATTGACCCTCAATAACATTGCCATTGCCATTTAGAGGAAACATTGCCTCTAAAGCTCCCAGTTGGTACTGTGTACACTAGTAAAGTAATTTAAAAATAAATGCTTATTGAATAAGGCTGTATGCCATTTGTTTAGTTTCTGCCTCTTGACTGTAAATTTATATTTATCTTTATGCTAGTATTTCCCAGTGTATCACCTCTGATGTGGTTATATTTTAACTCTTGTTTTCTGATAATGCACATCTGCTGTCTGCCAGGATTTGCTTCCAGGAAATTGATTTTTTTTTTTTTTGCCGTCATTGAAGTTAGCTAATACTAAACTAATTCTGCTATAATCTTGAAGCCAACTGGCTATTTCCACAAAGTCTGTTTTCATTAGGCGTTTCTCTGGGATGATCTGTATGTGGAAGTATTTTGGCTGCCCTGCTGGTATATACACTGTTACTTAATGCACATCAGGTTTCAGGCGCCCTAGGCACTGAACAATGCTGTAATCCCCAGAACCATGTCATGAATTTAACTAAATGCTTTAATTAATCTGTGCCTCGCTTGCTACGTTTTGCCCTTTTTACATTATTGTTTTAGATCTGCTCTTCATGCTGTTACCTTTTTTACCTGGGTTGTTTTTGTTTTGTTGCAGTAATTAAACACTGTTCATAAAGTATGTAACATAGCTCCTAAAAAATATACTTAAGTAGCTTTTATCTCTTCCCTTTTGTTTCTGCTCCTTAATGCAATCACAAAACTGACAATCTGAACTGAAAGTGGACTTGCAGCATCAATTTCGGGTAATGCTGTCATTTGTCTGCAGTTACTTTAAAGTGGTACTAAACTGCCATACATGTTTGTTTTTTTTTCCTTGTTCAGTCCCATGGGATGAGAGAAATGACTCTCGGTTGTATTCTGACAGCGACACACCCAATTATTGGCTGCAATCACTGTTCGGCTGACAATTTTCCACCCAGTGTGTTTAATTATGAGAACAAAGGATGTTGGGTGCGAGGCTTCTGCCAAAGAAGACTAGAACCATGTAAAATGCACTCCATGTATGGCCAGAATTTAAAATTCCTTGGTGGTCCAGTAGCATAACAGGTCTCTTCCTTTTGAACACAATCCTGTGCTGAGGGATGTGGCTGTTACTCAGCTATGCTAGTATAAGGCGCTGCAAGTAGCATTCTTATTTAGGGGGAAAACTGTATTGTTATTTAAAATGTACAAATTGGTGACAATGTGCATGGGTACACATTGATAGATTTAAAATGAAACCTTGATTGGGCGTTAAAGGCTAAGCAGCTGAGACCTTTCTTCCCCAAGATTATTAGAAAGCAGCTTCTGATTGAACTCCATAACCTCAATGTAAAACTAAGCAATATCTTTTGTTTTACTAAGATCTAGGCAGAAATCTTAATACACAGCTGTAATACATATACTGTATGCAAACTATATGATGACCAACTAGTTTTGTGATTCAGACACGCCTTCCAGAGAGCAAAGCCAGTTCAGTGACCTCTTTTGTCACTACTGGTAATCCACACTGTTTGGGCACTGACCCAACTCTAAGTTGCTGTTTGGCAAGAAAGGGCCAGCAGAACATTGAGGAAGTCTCTGTGTTCTCTCCTCCACTAGGCATGTTTAAAGTGTTTACTACCTTACTTAGTGCTGAAGTGTTAAGTTCTGGTTTCAGATAAATAATACTCCTTCTCCACCTCTCCAGTTCTGTGTACTTGGTTTACAGCCACTTATGCTAGTTGTGTTTCACAGTACATTTTTTAGTAAGTGAGAATGGAACTAAAGTGTTTATTTTTATTTTTGATATATCTGCTTGAAACTCAACTTTGGAGGAGTTTAATATGCTGAAATTGGTCCACCAGATGTAATAAATCAGGTGGCTATGGCTAATATACCTTTTTTCTTTTCCTAATATTTTAAAATCTGTTCCACTTTGGGAGGAATTTTTAAAAAGTTTAAGATCCCGGCCCCAGACCTGTGCCAGCCAGACCGTGTGCAGAGGTTGAGGAACAGTCATTTTTAGGCCATCGATGAGGCTCCACATACAGCGTTCCATGCCCATCCATTGCTCAATAACCACTTGTGCTCACCCCTGCTTTCTATATAATGAAAGTAGGAAATAAAGCTGTTAAGGTAGTTGTCAAGTGATTGGAAAGTGGTCCGCCATTGTGCTCTTATTATGTTCTCGGTTGTGAGCAGTGTGCTCGAGTTTGACTTTTTCTGACCGCTAGCTATAGGCTAGCTTCTTAGGAAACGCTGTAAAGTGTTTGGTGTACTTAGTTATACAAACCATCAGTGCATAGCTATACTTCGTGTTTGAGATTTCCCCAAATGCACCAATATTTAAAGCAAGCGGGAGATAAAGACATTAAACCCAGAGGTGTATGGCCTATTGCAATAGA